CGCGCGTCCAACGAGCGTCTGACGCTGACGCGCTGCTCGAGATAGGTTGGAGTTCTAATTTTGCAGCGTCAACGGCACATCTCCAAGGTTTTTAGCAGGGGAAAGACAGGAAATAAACACGCGGTGTCAAAATAAACTTCCGATACCCTTTCAAAATAATTTAACCAAAGTCAAGACAGTGATGTAAACAACGCGCACGTGATTTACGATGTCAGACACCAATTCTACAAGGACTCAGGACCAACCCAGGACTAAACCAGGACTAAACCAGAACTAAACCAGGACTACTGTCAAAATGTGCTTGGGGGTCCTTCCGTGTAGCCCCGAGTGTCCACGGGCGAAAGGACCAGTGTAGAGCTTGGAGAAGAGGTACGTGCAGCCGTCGCGCTTTTCGGACACCTGCTCCGCGGGGCTCAGGGTTCACTATCTCTCTCTCTCTCTCTCTCTCTCCAAGATTAGATCTGGTTTAGACCTTATTTAGTCCGGGTTTAGTCATGGTATAGACCTGGTTTAGACCTGAATTAGTCTTGACCCGCCCTTAAAATTCCAGAACATTAAAACTCGCCCGTTTCAGCGACTATTTTCCCTTAACCATCGGTGCAGGACGTATAGGCCTTATTACCTGGACGGACATATGATTTTAATCACACTCATAATGTATGTTAATTATACGTGATTTTACCTTATTAAGGGAAACAAAACTGAGGTGTTTAATGTGCGTGCTAATAGATTTAAACCTCATTAAACGCAAATGCGTTGCAGTTGTACACTTAATTCACAATACACTTAATACACATTCTAACTTAATACACTTTAACATAAAATAAATGATAAAAAGCAAGTACAAAATGTGATGTCTGAAAACAGTGAGAAGATGTGCAGGCTGCGTAGCAGGAGCGTCTCTGACGCTCTGGTGTGAATTGAAACTTTGAAATTTACGCGTACGCACAGCTCCGCCTACGTTAAGCGCTGCTGCAGCTCCTGGTGTGAATTCAGGGTAATAGTGCGGGTGTGTGCATTGCCAATTTTCATGTTGTTAGTTGAGTGATTATATTTTAAATAATTTAGTAAACAGTTGAGATCTTTGTATTTAACTTCTTTTTTCTTTAACATCTTTACATTTTATTTTATTTTTTTTAATTGCCCAGTTTGTCTTTTTTTTTTTTTTTTTTTTTTAGGTTTAAAATTGTACTTCCTGGTTGGAAATCATGAGAACTCCATAACTGTTACTTAGCAACCATGTAGTACACTGGGCCCAAGACTGCCTCTGACTCCTCTAATGTATACAGAAATTATTATATAACTATTAAAAATGCATTTATCTTATTGCAATTAATTGTTTAAGGTTCCAAAAATTTTTGTGTGTGAAAATTGTGCTTATGGGTGTCATCAATATGAACTCAATTGTGTAATTTTCAACATATTGTAAAAATTGTCTTCAAAAATTGCTTCTTGATTGGTGTTAAACAGGTAATAAGTTACCAAATTATTTCAATAAGCACACTTTAAAGGTGCACTATGTAACTTTTCAGGTTGGGGGTCCACTACAATGGAGATGCTATTGCTTTGACCAGACCTGGTCATTGTTTAGCTCCCATGTCACATATGGCCCTTTGTTTGACTCTGACCGGCCTGTTTAAGATAATTTGGAATTCCAAAATAGACATATTTTATCATTTTACTTCATGCATGAACTAAAGCTACATTGCTTTTATTTTAGAGGGGTTTTTAAATGACATTTTTTGTAAGGTAACCTCACTTTTTCATTGCTTAGTCATGAGAAAAACTCTTACCAGTCTTACCAGCTCATCAAAACAATGATATTTACTGCTTTTTTTTTTTTTTAAATAAAGAAATACAATTAATATTATGCAGAATTGAGTTAAGCATTTTGGCCCAGACCTCCACAATATTTTCTGTTTCTCATGTGGCCCCATGGAAAAAAATAATAATAAAAAAATAATTGCCCATCCCTGACTTAAACTGTAATGTTCCACGGTATGATATTAAACTGGTATAAGATTCATTTATTCAATTATTGGTGTTTTTATCTCTCAAAAATACCTTTAAAACAGCAAATGGGGTCAACTTTTTACAGAGCTCATCTATAACTTGCCCTGGTTGCGTCTCCTGCTTTTTTCTGAGATTGAAAGTCGAATTTGGAATATTGGACGTAAAGCATTAAGATATCCATGAAGAAAAGCATCTGACACACCCTCCATCAGAAAAGTTTCACAGTGTACCTTTAATTCAGCCTACATACCTAAATGAATCATCGCTATGTATTGGAAAACCTCGGCACCCCACCTTCAAAACTCTAACTTTAGTTCCTAAAGTATATACGCATATGATTAAACCTGACGGAGCCACAAAGGTGCGTGGAGTTGTTTATCGTTGGGAATGAGGAGAAGTGCGATTTGAAGTGAAACCTGGTACGCCCCCCCTGCTGGTAGCTAGGGACACATCTCGAACCCCAACTGAGCTTATAGCACTGCCTGCTGCCTCTGACAACCTGTTGCAAATCATTAGACTCTCCAGCGTCAGTGATGGGAATAATACTTTGAAAATGTATTTATTTACAGAATACTGAATACCTGCATTAAAGCTGCATTGTGTAACTTTTCTGGTGGAGGATGCGTCAAATGCTTTTCTCCTTGGTGGTCTTATGGCTTCATCAGAAATGTCTCACAGTCTTCATTTTCATGGAGACCAAACCAGGCCAAGTTACTGATCAGATCTGTGGAGAGGCGACCCCACTCACAGTCACAATACCTGTTTTTTTAAGGTATTTTTGAGCAATTAAAGCACCTGTAATTGAATAAATGTAAGGTAGAGCTGTTTAATGTCATACTGTGGAACATACGAAGCAGAGCAATCATATATCCATAGAAACAAGGTGATGACCACAACTGAAAAGTTACATAATGCAGCTTTAAAGGGCCCATATTGTGCTATTTTCTGATCTATGTTGTAAAGTTGTTTCTTCATCAAAAACATAAGTGAGCTTGTGTTTTATTTCATTCACACATGTTTAACACACAAATCTGGCATATTTAAGATGAGTTCCACCTTGTGATGTCATGTGGAACTAGAGGCTCTACTGTGTTTTTAAACTCCATACACCTTCACTAGAACCATCAGGAGAATTTCAGCTCTGGAATTGCCAATCTCTACTGAACAAAACGTAAAATTTAGCTGTTAACTTGAAACCTACATGACATCACAAGGTGGAACAGAGCATTTTGAGCTTTGAAGATGTTGACAAACTAATAATAAAGGGTTACTCAAACATGTGAATGAAACAAAACACAACTCCAGGCACGTTTTTGAGGAGGTAACAACATTATAATGTGGCTTAAAGCTCACAAGAGTCAATTTTCTGTAATATAGGATCTTTAGAATGCATTTTGTAACATATTCTGATACATGTTCCAATCAGAGTACTGTAATCTGAATTCTTAAAATACAGGCTCAAAACAGCTTCATATTTGTTTCACCGTTTGTTTTGCATTCCCTGTCACTAACTGGAGAAGGAAAAATTCACACATGCAGTCACCAAGAGAGCTGTGTTTTCCATTTTTCTCATTAATTATAAGCAGTTTGAAGCCTTCTGTGTCATCACATACTGCCATATATCCTTTAGATTTTAGAAAAGTAACTGCATTCTGAATACAACCAAATCAAAGAGTACCAAAGTACACAAAATAAGTATAAGTATGTATTCAGTTCCCAACACAGTCCAGCTCTAACAGTTTCAAAGCAGGTTGGAAGAGCTTCTTAGGTGTATGTAGTAGTAATAATCAGGCATGTACTGTAAAGGAAAAGTGCAGGCGCTCTACAAGCTAGGCCAATGAACGCAGAGGGTTCGCTCCATTAGCGTAGCCTAGCCGACCTCATCCAGTTATTTATTATGTGTGCTACATCACCGCGAGGAGATGTGATCCAACATGGCAGCTGATGCACACGCCGTCTCACTCTGGGAAAGTGTATCGCACTAACAACACGGTAAACAAAACAGGGGCAACAATGGAGCTATTTTTATATGCAGCTGTACAAGGGAATTGGTTCATTGATAACACAGGTCTAAGTTAACAATGTACAATAAGAGGATGTACTAAAACATAATAATGCCAACTTATATAACGGAAAGTAAAAATACATGCTCTGTGTACAATTGACTCTTGTGAGCTCATCAAAAACATACCTGGAGTTGTGTTTTGTTTCATTTACGCAAGGTTAAGTAATCTTTTATTATTGGTCTGTGCATCTACAAAGGCTAAAATTCTCTGTTCCACCTTGTGATGTCATGGAGTTGTAGTTTTTAAGTTAAAAGCCTTACAAACTTTTGATTTATGTATTTATTTTGGGCAAGTAAGAAATGTACATTCTTTTACGATGGAACATATAACATTAATGAAATCATAGCAGAAATAACAACAACAAAAAATTTAAAAAATTGGCCCCAAAAAGGAGTGGGAAGAAGAAAATTTATTTAATCTAACACGAGATTACAAGAGCTTGCTTTACAAATTTTTCAGATATTTTACATTAAACTATATAAACTATTTACAAAGAGTCACTGTTGTAGTTTGGTAACTTAACTGTAATTGCAATAATACATAAAGATATCAACAATGGTAAGGAAAATTAAAGATACCAACAATGGCAACGGACAGAACATACCTCAAAACCTTTTACCTTTTGTTCAAAATTATTTTAATGAAGGTGAGTGGAATTTAAAAACAGAGTGGATATAGTACTTCTCATTTATGATTACAAATAGACCATACAACTTGTTTTACATCTTATTTAGTTTACAATTCAGATTCTTTGTGCATTTTATTCATGTATCCAACCAGATTGTGTTGTAGCCTGAAGCTCTCGTGATACATTTACCATTAGAATTGAAATACTGGGTGAATGTAACTTTTGAAACTTGCTGCAAACTTGTGTCTCTTCTCACCCTCCCTCTCTCTCCACTCTCCTGTGTGTGCTTACAGAACAGATACGCCACAGCAGCAGAGAGAGGCGTGCGACTCTACAGCTCCCTGCCCATGCGCCCGAACCCTGACGGCAAGAGACTGCCCTCTACTGGGGTAAGGGCATCGCACCTTCACCCATGCAAACTCCCTCACCCGTGTCTAATTATCACATTATGTACAGTAACCACACACCACAGCAGCGTGGCCTTTTCTGTTGTTAGAAGGTTAGACTGTCTTCACATAAAAAGTAACTGTACTTAAAGGTGTGTAACTTTTCTGTTTAAGATCTGCCACTTGCTTGTATCCATGGAAATGCTATTGCTTTGAAATGCCCAGCAGTATGATAGTGAACACAACAATAGAGATACATATAGAACACCCCCCTCATGATGACAGATGGTGGTGCAGAATAGTATTCACACTTCCATCAGTCTGTCCCAGGACAGCTGTGACTTAAGAAGAAGGATTTATCAAAACGTGTAGTATATATCAGTGCAATTCGGGCGGCAGTAGCTCAGTTGGTAGAGCATTCGCCCACTGATCTAAAGGTTGGCGGTTTGAATCCAGCTCTCGACATAAACATCACAGGTTGAGTGGTCAGATCCACTGACCCACAGGTTGGCTGGTGTGATTCCAGCTCCCACAGATTAATGCTGCTGTTGTGTCCTTGGGTAAGACACTTAACCCACCTTGCCCACAGTGTCTGCGTACACTGGTGTATGAATGTGCGTGTGAATGGGTGATTGGTTCCTTGTTGTAAAGCGCTTTGAGTGCCTTGAAGGTGGAAAAGCGCTATAGAAAAATGTGACCATTTACCAATTCATGGGTTTCAGCTTTGTGTTATATGCAACATTTTGAGGACTTTTTCTAAAAGTTGGTAATCGCTATGGCAACTGTTATTGTAAATGGTCACATTTTTATATACCGCTTTTCCACCCCTAAGATACAACAGGGACCCACTCACCCCATTCATATGCCAGTGTACGCAGACACTCGGGGTGAGGTGGGTTAAGCGTCTTGCCCAAGGACACAACGTGGATCTGCCCACTCAACCGATGATGTTTATGTAGGGTGCGGGATTCAAACTGCCACCCTGTGGATCAGTGGACAAACGCTCAACCAATGGAGCTACTGTCGCCTCGTTACTGTTTTTCATCATTCTGAAATACTTGTGGTAGTATTGCATATTGATACTTTTCAACTGATGTCATTAACATTCCCTCGGGGTGTGATGCTTAGCCAGGCTGGCGCCACCTAGTGCCACCGCTCAATTTCATTTCGCTCCAGCATCTAGGTCAGGAATTGTAATACACTAGACGGCTTGCAAAAACGAAGTTGTAGACTGCGCTCCGGCCAATAAGAGAAGAGCTGTGAATCCATGACGTCAAACTCAAATGTCTGTCTGTGTCCCTTTTGTGGTACAGCACAACAGTAAACAAAGCATAACAAAGCTATTACTTAAATTAGATTTTAATCTGAGCTTTGTTTTAACACAATCTGTATCAATCTGGTCAGTCAGTCACTCTCACATTTTGTTGAAAATGGATCACCTAAACAGAACCCTGGACACTTGTATTGATCACAGGCTCCTGAAAATGTGCTGTTTAAATCAGTTTTTTACCTTAAAACAATATTTGCTGATGCGTGTTGTGTCACTGCAGAAACATGCCACTATAGCGATGCATATAGAACACCTTCAACGTAATGTCACTACAAAGTATCAATAAACTGTATGTTCAGTGAAGCAGGCAGGGACTTGCTAGTGAATCTGAAGGTCTGAGTAGTATTTTATGTCTGTTCTGTGATAAAACAGATGTACCAGGAAATCAAAGTACATTTCCTGTTTCCTTATAATTGTTCCCAAAGTGCTTAAAAAAAGATGATTTTTATTGAAGTTAAGCGGCGCGGCACTCTTACTTTGACTTTGACAAAGTGCTGGAAGAGTACTTTGTTTGTCAAACCTGCCTTTCATATTTTAATTTAAAAAAGGAGAAATCTTTTAGCATTGTGAAAAATCATAATTAGAATCTTGCCTGCCTTTGCCTTTATGCGTTTATGTAACAAAGGGGGGAAATGAAAGAACAATGATGAGAGGAGAGAATTGAATTTCTTATGTCTCCCTTTTTATGTGCGTTTTGAATTGTCCGCTCCAGGGCTGAGGCACAGGGAGAGAGGAACGCTATAATATTGTTTGTTCACACTTTTTAATTAAAGCTTACATTGCACTGAATTCTCACACTTGTCCTAAATAGTTTTAGAAGGAAACACAAACCGAGAACATAAGTCTTCACCTTTTAATAGAAATCAGTGGTATCTTACTAGTCTGGCAAGCCTATCCTTCCTACATTCTGTCTGAATCCAAGTCAAACCACCGTCACACACTTTTGGAAGTTGTTGCCCATGTTTCTCAAATGTGGAAAATGTCTATGAGAATATCTTTATATCATTAAAGGGCCCATATTACTCTATTTTCTGATCTATGTTATGATCTTTCTTATCACAAACATACCTGGAGTTGTGTTTTGTTTCATTCACACATGTTTAACACACAAATCCTGCATATTTAGTCTGAGTTCTTCTCTCAATCTATAAAACTCTGTTTCACCTTGTGATGTGATGTGGTAATACAGGACGTGCTCCACTGTTTTTAAACTTCATCTTCACCAGCATCATTTAGATAATTTCAGACCTGGAATTGCCAATCTCTACTGAACAAAAGGTAAAAGTTAACATGAAAACCACCTCTTCATGACATCACAAGGTGGAACAGAGAATTTTTAGCTTTGGAGAAGTAGACAGACTAATAAAATCGTTACTCAAACATGGGTGAATAAAATAAACACAACTTCAGTTATGTTTCTGATGACGTAACAACATTATAACATGATTTAAAGTTCATAAAAGTCAATTTTGTGTAATATAGAACCTTTAAGAGCTAAATTATTTTACCAATTCAGCTATTTTTCTGTCCTCATTATAAATGTGTGCTTTCTTTACTATCTTTAAGCAGCCGTGTTTGCTTTTGCTCAAACCAAGCGTGTTTCTTTGATTAGTTATCCCACCTGTCAATCACACCCATCTGAACACTCAAAGACAAGACTCGATTCCAGACTATTTGTAAAGTATAAAAGCACATAGTCTTGACTGGCCAGAAAATGTCTTACTAGTTGTGCATACTGACTTCTTACATGCCAATAAGATTTTTTTTTTTTTTTTTCAAAGGACGTATTCAAGATGTGCATATTGGAGAATCTCTGCCAAAGCGATAAGATTGTCTCACAGGCCAGATTACCTCCTGCTGTGCTGTTCAAAGCTCTTCTTTGTGAGGGTCCATGCTAGCAGTATTATCCTTCTGTACTATAATGTGGAGGCTTTCTATAAAGTATACATGAGGTTTGAGATCAAGATTTTCTAATGGTGCGCTTTATGTTGTACCGTATCACCAAAGCAAGTTCCTAGTCGGCAAATTCTGAAACTTATTCCGATTCCGATTTAATAAGAGTTGGGAAATGTTATCAGAATTCTGTGCATTTATCTTTAATCTTAGTGCCTATTTTCAGTTTTGGGTGATTTTCAGATTCTAAAATGTGAGGATGTCATATGCCCAGAGCTGATTTTTCCGTATAAACCACAGTATTGTATTCTCTTGAAATATGTCAAAGGTTTATTCACAAATGTTGCTATATTTCAACTAAAATCTATATTGTAAAGGTGCACTATGTAACTTTTTGGTTGTGGGTCCATCACCTGCTTGTTTACACTTAGACTTAGACAAACTTTATTAATCCATAAGGGAAATTATTTGGACACAGTAGCTCACACATCCCAATAAATCTAATAACAAAGAGCAAAAATGTAAATGTTAATAATAAATTCTAAATAAGCAGCCAAAAGATAGCAAGAGACAGGTGTCAAATAAAACATAATTATTTAAATGTAAATGTACACATAAAAATAAAATAGAAAGATAAGTAATAAAATATAAAATCACAGCTTTATACAAGTGTAACAATAATATGATGATTGACAGGACATGAGTTGTTGTACAGTTGTAGGGAGTATTATCTGTTACATAAATGTGAGTTGTTGTACAGTTGTATGGAGTATGGTATGAATGCAATCCTGTATCTCTCAGTGTTTGAGCAGAGCTGTAGGAGCCTGTTGGAGTGTGAGTTTCTATGGATATGTCACTGATCTATCTGAAATGTTCCACAGTATGACATTAAACAGCTCTACGTTACATTTATTCAATTACAGGTGGTTTTAAAGCTGAAAAATACCAAGAAAAGCAGCCATTCTGACTGGGAGCAGGGCTGCCTCTCCACAGATCTGACCTGTAACTTGGCCTGGTTTGGTCTCCATGAAGATAGAAAGGTTTAATACCACACTGTGAAAAAATCCAGACAAAGCAATAACATCTTCATAGCGAAAAGCATTTGATGGACCCTCCACCAGAAAAGTTACACAATTAACTACTTCATTTTAGCTGACCCTCATCTGAACTAAATATTATTGAACTTTTGAAAGTTATGATATCATCTGAAAGCCACCGAAACCAATAAATAAATAAATAAATAAATAAATAATCTGTTTTTCTTATGTTCAGTTCTATTCTTATCTAAAGAAATTGTAATTTTTCTAGTACAATCCATATCAGCCTTAGCCAATACACATATTCATATCACAAATTTTAATCATGAAAGTTGCTGCAAAGCTCTTTACATCACAGATTAAAGCAACCACTTCCCTTATATTAAAACACATTAAAATAGCTGCAGTTTCCTGTGTTGCGCTGTCTCTCGCTGCACACAGCCTCAGTATGGGAGTGTGCTGGAGCTCTGGGCTGCATACAGGGAAGAGACTATACACCACTTAACATGCAGGAGCAAACCAGGCCTTTTTCCATCACACTTATCAGGGGCTGCAGCGAGAGGGGGTGTCAAGGTGCTACAACTAGTCCAAGGTCCCTCCTTCTCCACCCCCTTCCTCCCTTTCCTTTTCCTCACCCAGTACTTCCTTTAGGACTGCACACTTTTGGAGTAAAGAAAAAAAAAAGTGATTTCTCTGAAGTATTTGCAAATTGTAAACAACAGGGAGCTTTCTGTCAAATTATA